CGGGCGCTTCCGCACCTAGTGGCCGGTCCTGCGAGTGCGCCCCCTCCCCGGCTGCCCGCCCCGCGCGGGTGCCGCCTCGCTCCGTCCCGCTCCACGCCGTAGTTGGGGAGGTGCCTAAGACCGCGGAGCTCCCCGCCTGGCTCGGCCTCCCGATTTGCATCAGTGGAACGGGTCTGATAGCAGTTCCCACACCGTCTGGTAGGACTCCCGGGTTGGGAGTCCAGCATCTGCCATTTAGTAATTGCTCAATAAACGTTAGCTGTTCTCCGCCCTCACTGTAGGGTCTGCATCCGGCGGTGGTCACTAAGTATCTCGTTGCTTAAATAAGGGAATGAAAGTTGAATGAGCGATGAGCAAAGTATTTAATGAAAACTATTAATCCCCCGGCGGTACCTATGGATGATAGGAAGGCTTCTCTGGCAGTGAGCAGTGTTGGGTCTGGAAGAGCAGATGTATTAGTTTGCTAGGGCTGCCATAACAATACAAGTGACTTAGACTACAGACTTAATTTTTCCCACAGTTCTAGAAGTTGGAAGACCAAGATCAAGGATCAGGCAGGTTTGCTTCCCCCCGCCCCCTCTTCCCCAAGCTTTCTCCTTGGCTTGCAAGTGGCCATCTTTGTGCTTGTCTTCACATGGTCTCTCCTCTGTGCTCCTGCATCTCTGATGTCTCTCTGTGGTCCAGATCCTCTCTTCTCATAATGACATCTTTGAGACCGGAGTAGGGCCCACCCTCTTGGCCTGGGTTTTAACTTCATTACCTCTTCAAAGGCTTTGATCTCCATGTGCAGTCACATTTTGGGAACAGGATTGAGCCCTTAACAAGGAATTCACCAGGGGGACAAGGAGGTGAATATTTGCCAACAGAAATGACAGAATGGCCAAGGGGTTGTAAAGCAGGGTGCCCCAGGTGTTTTGTGGTAGTGTTTTTGCACAGGGCACACAGCATATTATTCTTGTGCTGTCCTGCATTTTCTTTTTCGTTTAACCCCCCCCTCCCCAATTCAAAGAGGATAAACCCTCTTCATTCTTGGTCTGACAGACTTAACTTTCAGGTTTCAGCAATGATGTCTCTTCCTTCAGAAAGTTTTCCCTTGACCCTCCCCGCACAGGTTTCCTCCCCCTACTTAATAATGCTCTTGCAGTGCTGTACTTTTTTTTCCCACTGGACTGATGCTTCATGAAGGCGTGGATGAGCATATGGAGTTGTTCACCGTTGTATCCTCAGCACCTGTAGACAGTGGATACTCTGTAAAATTAAGTAATTGATGGGAAACTGAGGGCCAGGGAACAGATCCTGTTCAATTTGCCAGCACTCATCCTTACAACAATATCTTGTACATATTAGACATACAATACCTATTTAACTGAATTGGCCTTCCTAGTAGACAGAGTCAACATAAAGCTAAGGCAAGACCAAGGCTTGTTTGCTTAAAACCAGCACTCTCGGGTGGGGTGAGGGACTAGAAATAAGCGAGTTGAAAGTGCTATATGTATATAATGGAGTTTTATTGAGCCATAAAGAAGAATGAAATATGTCATTTGCTGGAAAATGGATGTGACTTGAGAGATTTTTGTAAAGTCAAATAAGCCAAATTCCGGAAGGCAAGGGTCATATGTTTTCTTTCATATATGGAAGGTTGGTAGGAAAAGAGGGGGATCTCATGAAATAGAAGGGAAACCAGTAGAGTAGAGGAAGGGGGCCAGGGTGAGGGAGGAGGGGAAGGAAAGGGGAAACACTGGAGAATGAAACTGACCAAATTATATAATGTGCATATACAAAATGTCACAATGGATCCCACTATTGATATCATTATAATTGTATTGATATCAATATAAAATTTTTTTTAAGCATAATGGGCAAATACCCCTTAGGATCCTTCTAAGGAAGCTTGGTATTGAGGCACATGAACTTTGGACCCTTGGAGAAGTAATCTATTAATGGCTTCACTGAAAAACTTTGACAAACTCATCCATTTGTGTTGGACCAATTGATAGAATTGCAGCACACCCCCACCCCCACCCCAAACAAGGGCTTTTGCTGTAGGTGCTTTCCCTGCAGGTTAAAGTTCCATTCTGGCTCTTGTTCCCTTTAAAAGCACTTCCTCATTCACATCCACCCAAGGGAAGGTTTTTCCTTCCATTTTTCTTTTTTCCTATATTTCTATCATTTGATATCATTCTAACAAAGCCAAATTTTCTACCTTTATATTTCTGGTATAGATCTGTAGCTTTTAGGAAAAGAAAAAAACCTTAGAGTGTCTAGTCCAAGGTTCTTGCTGTAGTTTGGGTCTTATATGTTCCCCAGGGGCCCATATGTTGAACACTTGTTACCTAGACTGGTGCCGTTGGGATGTGGTGAAAAGAAGAGGGGCCTTATAGGAGGCCCTCGGGTCATTAGGGCTGTGCCCTTGAAGTAATGGTGGGGGCCCAGCCTTCTTCCTCTACACTCTGGTCATGAAGTAAGAAGTTTTGGTCCATTATGAATAACTGCCAGAATGTGCTACCACAAAGCCAAAGCAATGGGGCCAACCCATCATGAACTAAAACTCTAAAACTATGAGCCAAAATTAACCTTTTCTCTTTATAAGTTGATTATCTCAGGTATTTTCTATAGTAACAGAAAGCTATCACACTGAGCAGCAAACATGGACGAAATCCCTGTGTTCCTCCTGTCACACCAGCACCTTGTATGCCACATATTTGTCCTGAATTGTGTAGAGACTTCATGCAGTGCTTGTCGGTGGGGTCACTTGAATCAGAAAGCAGTAGATTGAAGAGGCAACTGATTTGGTCAAGGGAAGCTTTTGCTAGTGACTAAAGAAGTGTTTCACCTCACGGTTCGGTGGGTCAGGAATTTAGGCAGATGTCAGCTGGGTAATTCTTTAGTTCCATGTGGTTTCATCTGGGACATTGAGTGGTATTCAGCTTCTGGACAGGCTACCCTGGGGAGTATGAGCATGGCTTCCCTGGGATCTGGAGCCCCGGAGCCCTTCTCCCTCTCCAGGTAGTCTATCTAGTTGGATGTCTACAGCTGACTGAGGCTTCCCAGAGCCAGTTTTCCAAAAGATGGGAAGTAAAAGCTGTCAGCTCGTAGGGCCTGGGCCTGGGAGTGAACAGTATGTCCCAATGTCTCACTGTCACCCTTCTGTTTAAGTGGTGTACTGTGCACTTATTTTGTTGTCCTTACTAGAATATCAGCTTCATTAGGGTGGGGACCCAGCATGTTTTATTCTTTGCTATTAACCTATAGCCTAGCACACAGTAGTTATTATAGTTGTCATATGATTAAACTTCCTGGGTACACATAACGGTTTCCTAACTGTTGGTCAGCCTTTTGTTGCTGTAACAAAATCCCTGAGAAAATCAACTTAAAGGAAGAAAGGTTCATCTTGGCTCACAGTCTCAGAGGTGTTAGTCCCAGGTCACTTGGTTATATATTGTTTCTGGCCTGTGGTGAGACAGAACACCATGGTGGGGAGGGTGTGACAGAGCAAAGTGGCTCACCTCACAGTGAGCAGGAAGCAGAGAAAGAGGGAGAGCAAGGGCCAGGGGTAAAATATACCCTTTAAGACACACTCCCTGTGACCTCCTTCTTCCAAGTCGCTACCTCCTGCCCACCTGATGGACCACATAAGCCTTTGGGAGACTATGGCATTATCCCATTGAGAGTCAGGGTTCTTAGAAGGCCTGTGAAGCTCACTGTGGCTTGCCATCTAGGATGGCATCTCCTGCCACTGAGTCGCACTCCAGAGGCCTACTGCCTATGGTCTGTCTGCCCTAGGTAGCTGCCTGGCTCCTTCCCTGACTTCCCTCACACCTACCAGAGAGGCACAAAGGCCCCGGATCCAGCACACTGCTGCAGGGTGCCTCCTGTTGTCTGGTGAAGGTAGTTATTTTGACTTGCACCTCATTTCCCTAAGATGGCCCTGATTTTCCCCAGCTTCCAATTCACTGACCCATAAGTTAGGTGTTTGACAGATGTGGGTTTGATCTCAACTAGTTGTCTTTTTTTAACCTTGTATGGATATAGGTGTATTGTTTTATTTTTTAATTTAACATAACTAAGTAGACCATGAGAGGTACACTTAGTATCATGGTTGTATTCTGGATTTACACTATCAAAAACAGTGACCATTTAAATATATATTTGTAGGATGAAATTTCAGTTCCTCAGTCATGTTTCAAGGGCACGGTTGTCCCACATAGCCAGTGGCTACTGTGTTGAGTACCCAGCAGAGAACATTTCCATCCTGCAAATGGTGCTCTTGAGCAGCACTGGTCTAGATGCTGCCAAGTGAGCTTCATGGGGGGCGGGGGTATGTGTTTGAGCTGAAGGAGCGCTGCCATGGGGAGGTGCAGAGGAGCGAGTGCTGTGGGGGCTGCGTCATGTCCAGTGGTGGTGTTGAGTCTCCTCTCATGCTCTGCTCCAGGTCTCATGGTTTAGCATGGACCCTGTTGCTGCCCACAGCTGCCATCTTCTCCAACAACTGCATGAGCAGCGCATTCAGGGCCTGCTTTGCGACTGCATGCTGGTGGTGAGAGGGGTCTGCTTCAAAGCACATAAGAACGTTCTGGCAGCCTTCAGCCAGTATTTCAGGTGCGTATCTTGTACAGCCTACCAGCTATGGGGGACGCCCTTCTAGTATGGAGGCGTTTTTCTATCTTCTTGAGTTTGACTATTCTTATCTTTTTATGCCCATGGGGGTTTTTGGGGGGCGGTATTTTGATTTTAGTTCAACTTAATATGATTATTGCTTTTGTGTTTAGAATGACCCAAAGGAAAAATACCTCTTAACTAAAGTGTATTTGGGATGATTGAAAGTGTTTTGGTGTGCTGGGGATGTGGCTCAAGCAGTAGCGTGCTTGCCTGGCATGCGTGCGGCCCAGGTTCGATCCTGATGTTGTGTCCGCTGAAAACTAAAAAAAAAATAAATAAATATTAAAATTCTCTCTCTCTCTCTCTCTCTCTCTCTCTCTAAAAAGAAAAAAAGAAAGTGTTTTGGTACTTTTGTCTTTTATTTTGATTTAATTTCGGTCTTCTGCATATATCTTCCTTTAAGGATAAAATGATTAAGGAATTGAATTCCTGGTAACAATTTTCCTGTGATAAGAAATCAGAGTGGGGGCCAGGCAAGGTGGTACATGACTATAATCCCAGCTACTTGGGTGGCTGAAGTAGGAGGATCACCAGTTGGAGGCCAACCTGGGCGACTTAGTGAGACCCTATCTGAAAATAAAATAAAATTTAGAAAGGGCTGTGGATACAGCTTAGTCGTAAGGTGCTTGCCTCGCCTGCAGGGGGCCCTAGGTTCCATCCCTAGTACTGCAAGGGGAAAAAAAGAAAAAGAAGAAAAAATCAGAGGGGAAAACATTCTATGGGCTGCTTTATTTTCTTTTTTTCATCTTTATTCTCATTTGAATATTATAAGACAATATTTGGTTTGAATTCAACTTAGTTTTCCCTGTAATCATTTCTACTTATGTGAAAGATTTATTATTCATAAATGCTGAATAACACCAAATACTTGTTGCAGTGTACTTAACATTATTAAAGTTATATATTCTACATAATTTAGTTTTCTGGTTAGCAGGTTTATTTCTCTTTAAACACAATGACTTCTTTTTCCTAAGTATGTTTTTGTTTATTTGCAGCATGCGTACCATTTTCTTGCTCTAGTAACCAATATATGGAACGTGATCTGCTCTTTCCCTTGTAAAACCCTGAATCATGAAATGAAGTCTGTTACAGTCCACAACATTACGGATTGTCATGAACCAGCTCGTGAAGCTGGGCCGCAGTTTTTGTCCATATGCAAAATGGCCCCAGACCCTTGGGCTTTGCTGTCCACCTGCTTCTGCCTTCCCGGGTGCGTGGGGGTGCAGAGGAGGAGTGGACAAAAAAGGAGTTAGGTCTCTCTGTTGTGTGGCTGTTTTGAGCTGAAATAATTCAGAACTGAAGGCCATTTTGGGAAAACAGGTGACTATATTTGACAAAATGTCATCAACAAGCTGCAAGACAGTTTACTAACTCATTTGATTACGGTACACACAGTACCAGTTGGTTCACTGTGAATTTGACTTGTACCCAGAAAAAGAGCCTGCTTTATGGCATCTTTTTTTTTTAATTCATTAACTCATGAGGTGTCTTACTATTGGCTTATGGACCATTGGGGTTGCCAAAAAACCTGCCAGTAATTAGACATTTACTTGTTGCAAAGCAAAATATATATTAAGGGTTGGTTTGTTACAGGTGTTTTTATTTTTAGGAAATTTTTAAGGCACTTAGACATGAAGATATTCGTGAATATGTTTTAAAGTCTGAAATACGTCATTTGTCAAACTAAATATAATATTCAAAAGCATGAATTTAGTTTTCTTTATTTGTATGTGATTAATATATATGGATAATTGCAGATTGAAAAGATATTTAGCACATTCTTATTTATGTTAAGTAGATCAGTTCATAATAATTTTCAGATCTGTCTTTGTGAGTCATGAGCCATATTGCTATGTGTAGTTTTTTTTTAAATATTAAACATGAATGTTATAAGAAAAAGCAGATTGTAAGAATAGTTTTCATCATAAATGGATTTTTTTTTTTTAATCAGGAGCCTCTTTCAGAATTCTTCAAGCCAGAAGAATGATGTTTTCCATTTGGATGTCAAAAACATCAGCGGCATAGGGCAGATCCTGGACTTCATGTATACCTCTCACCTAGACTTGAACCCAGACAATATTCAAGTAATGCTGGACACAGCTCAGTGTTTGCAAGTTCAGAACGTTCTGGATCTGTGCCACACATTTTTAAAATCAGCCTCTGAACAGCCACCTGGCATGCCTTGTGACAGTACATTCTCCCTGCAAAGCACTCTGGCCCCAGATGCCACCTGTGTTATGAATGAAAACTACCCTCATTTACTGCAAGAGTGTCCTGCAGGGACCCAGCATGCTAAGGTTTTGGATGAGCCACATCCTCACGCTCCGTCAGTCAGTCTTCATCATTCCACAGGTGAAATGTCCAAACAAGCCCCCAGTGCTTTAGACAGCAGCTGCTCAGAACTGCCTTGCAAACAGCCAAGTTACTATTACAAACTCAGAGACTTTTACAGTAAGCAGTACTGCAAACAGGCCGCTTGTCCCAGCCAAGAGCGAGGAACCGAGCAGCCTTTTGCCTTCACTTCCCCTACAGACCTCGCTGCAGTGGACAGCCAGTCTTGTGCTATCAGTCATTCTGAGTGTCTCCTGGAGTCTTCCGAGCACTTGCCTTCTACCTTCCTGGCCCAGCCGCCCAGTGACTCCATCCCAGACCCTGAGTCAGATGCCCCCGGCCAACAACCTACCAAACAGATGAGGCTCAAAAAGGCCATTCACCTGAAGAAACTCAATTTCCTAAAGTCCCAGAAATTGACAGAGCAAGCATCTGAACACAAGTTGGATTATGGTTTAACAAAGAAGACGGAATCTGCCCGTGAAAATATGGCAGAGGAAGCTAGCAGCCGAAGTACTGAAGAAAAAGAAAGTGAAGACATCAGTTCTGAGAATTTTAATTGCGTTAGTGAGATGGAGCTGTCCGAAGCCCCCGCCACACTGGAAGATCAGTCCCAGAGTCTTCATTCACAGAGACAGTACGCATGTGAATTGTGTGGGAAACCTTTTAAACACCCAAGCAACTTGGAGCTGCACAAACGGTCTCATACAGGTACACTGACCCGTACCCACAGGCACGGGGAAGGAAATCACTTGCAATGACACCCTGCCTTGTTTGTATAAGAAGCTTTGCTCTTTTCTTGACAAGGTCATTGGTGTTCTTAAAACTCAAGTGACATTAACTATACTTTACTTTTAATTTTTAATGATGCATCTTAAAATTCTGCAAATGGTTTTAAAATAGAACCATTTTTGAAAGATAGAGTACTTTTTATTTCAGGTGTAGTTTTATGTGACAAACTGTCCATTTCTAAAGAAGTGTAGTCAGTTATTTTGATGTGCTCAAAATTCCTAATTAATTCTAAAATAGTCATACTATATTTAGTTGTTTCTTTAGAATTAGATCAAGTTTATTTTTTCAAAGCATAATGTAGGTAATTGAAACTAAAATAATATAGTTTGAATAATTCTAAAAGGTCTCTCAGAAGAAATATGAATATTTGATTTAAAGAATTGAGATTTGGAAGCCTTAAGCATTTGATATTTTCAAAAGAAAAATTCTTCCATTTTAAACATTGAATTTTCAAGGTTTTATTAATTCATTACTTCTCCCCTTTCACAAATTTTTAGAGGTATTATACCATATGTGTTATATGTTGCATATATAGTATACCATATACATATTACATTGTATAATACCTACATATAACTTTCCTTCCTATAATTAGACATGATGACTTTAATAACATTACAAATTAGTGTACAATTGTAGTTATGAGACAGTGTGCACAGGAAGCTTCCAGAATAACTACACATACAGTGTGGTCATTGCATTTTTTGATGTAGTGTTCTCTTATCACTTGGGATTCCCGATTTGCTTAGGTGATTACCTCTTCATGTATATTTGGGAGACATCAATCAGTAATATTTGTGAAAGCCATTTATAAATTTCAGTGAATTTGAATATAAAGTGTTGTTATAATTATTACTCTTAGTTCAAAATGTGTGGGCATCACAGACTTGGTTTTGCCATGAATTTTGCTCAAGTTTCCTGCAGCCTAATGATCACTATAATTTTTTTGAGAAAATTAGCTGTTTAGCTTTAAAGGAAACTAAATTACTTATTCTGAGAAAACATCTGATGAGAGGGCAGCAGAGCCTGGGAACCCTCTCTGGGACCTACCATCCCAAAACTGTCTTCAGAATAACACAGGGCATCATTGCCCTTTCCTCTTCTCTCATGAGCCTGCGGTGGAGCCTGCCAGTGGCTACGTGGTGTGACGATGTCCCGTCCTGGTGGCCAGTGAAGTGTGCTTGTGCGTCATGGACTTCATTCTCTTCATTTCTAATGTAGCACACATTGATAGACACAGCTCACGTGGACAGAATGTCTTGAACCTTGGTTTTACCAGTGCAGGGATACCAAGGCCAAAGTCTGTGACCCACTGGGTGGAGTTACTAGCCTTGCTCACTTAGCACCTGAGTGACCAGTAACCTCTCATTTTTCAGTATATCTTTTAAGGGAATTTTAACTTGCCTATTATCATAGTAATTTTATACATAATCCTTTTTTGAACTCCCAAAATACAGACAATATCATCATAATCATTTAGGGCCCACGAAGCTACAGTGAGCCCAGAAAGCTAGCAGAGCCTAGCAGTGTGGTCAGAAGGGAGCACAGTGTTGTTATTTCTCAAAGAGGGTCTTAATGCAGCATGTGATCTGAGTGGAACAGGGAAAGGGAAGGCTGTTGGCTCAGGCTGCTCCTTAGTTTGTGTGGCCCACGGGCGGCACCTTAACAGACACCTTCTGCAGGTCCTGGTCTGCAGGCTGTGTGCACACAGCTGTGGTTTCATGTAGCGGCATCCATTCTCCATACCTGTTCTGTCCAGGATCACTTAGAGCTACTAAATGGGAGGTGACTGAAAAGACCGCAGAGGAGCACCTCTCCCATTGAAGCCTCACTCTCTCCTGTGAGCATGTCCACCAAGGCTGGGAGGCAGCAGAGAGGAGCTGTCTCCTTGTCCCATCATGTTTTGGGAGGTCCACCCTGTTTGGGGCTCCTGCATTTCCACTATGGGTGGTGCGAGTGGGCTGCCTGTCCTCTTAGGAGCCAGTAGTAAAGTGGAGTCAGGTTCCCACTGTTCAGCAAGAAAACTGCAAGGAGAGCCTGGGGTCTGCGTTGAATGCGGATAAATATATTCAGCTTTACCACAGGTTTCTACCTGGAGAGCCATTTGATTTTTTTAGAGGAAAAGCATAGAGATTTCACTGAGCACTATCTGTGAGAGCCAAGTGACAGTGGAACTAGAAACTCCGCTGTCCTGCTGTGGGGAGAATGTCCTGTACTGTGTGAAAGAGAACAAGGATCATTTAAACATTTTAAATAATTATTGCTCAAATGCTAGTACTGGTTTTACAAATTGTTCTGTTTTGTTTTGCTTTGTTTTAGGTGAGAAACCTTTTGAATGTAACATATGTGGGAAACATTTCTCTCAGGTGGGAATACTCTTATTTACTATTAATAATTGGAAACCTGAAACGCAGTGTCTATTTTTATTATGAATAAGATACTCTTTTACCTCTGATAATATCTATTCCTTGAAGATTCCAGAATAAATCAGGAGACAGTTTTTAAGAACACAAATTTCTAGTTCACGAGGTCGGGCAGGTTCTCACAGAACCTCTTCCTTTCCCTTACTAAGTGTGGGTCCCATCCTAGGTATGCCTTTTTTATGGTGAATGAAATTCCTGTGCACCACACACAGTGTGGTTTCCCTGGAGCCTACAGATGATATTCCACCAATAGTCGTCTTATTCTCATCAGGACTAGATGTGTTGTGTGGTACTAGGGATTAAACCCAGGGATTTACCACTGAGCTACCTCCCCAGCCCTTTGGGTTTTTTGTATTTTGAAACCAGGTCTTGCTGAATTGCAGAGGCTGACCTTGAACTTGTAGTCCTCCCACTTCAGCCTCCCAAGCAGCTGGGGTTACAGGTGTGCACCACTGTTCCTAGCCTAAATCATTTTTATTACCTGCTTTTACTGCTCTCCTTTAGCTGACCTCCATTTAGATCTTTTGAACACAGTTAATTCTCTCATTCAGAAAACCTTTGTTGTACCTTCTCATGAGCAGGTACTCTGCTAGGCCCTGGACACAAACCTAGAGATTTAATGTTTTACAGAAAAGTTCTAGAATTACCTGGCTTGTGGGCACCTGCTTTTCTCTCTGAAACGTAAAGTTCATCTCTTCATGGCCAGGTTCAGAGCACTGGGCTTCCAAGGGACACAAGATGGCAGCTGCTCTGGGGCCTGAGGGCAGATATCTGCAGATGCTGCTCAGCCAGAAAAATAAGCTTGGGCTGGTCCCCATCAGGAGTGGGAGACCCTTGGTGTGGTAGGGCTGGGTAGGGAGGTCCTGCAGAGCATGGGAGCAGTGAGTGCCATCTTGCCCCACACAGCTCTCAGTGTCCCCTGCATCACTGAGGGTGCACCCACTTTTCCACACACCAGACCTGCCAGCCATACTCCACTCCTCCCTCTCATTAACTCCCCGCTTGCAGTGATGTCCCAAATCCAGCATTCTTTCTGTGCGTGAGCAACCCTGTCCTCCCTGGATGGTCAGTTCCTCTGGGCTGGGCAGTGTGTTTATGTCATCCCAGGGGATGCTCCTGCCCAGGGAATGGGGAGTGCATAATTGACAAGATGAGCAGAGTGCTCATCCTCCAGCACCATTCTAGTGGCTATCCTCCTGCCCGCCCGGCCCCAGGGTCCCAGCTTGGTCTGTAGAGCCAGATGGTCTGGATTGAAGACTGCCTCTGTCAGGGATCACAGCTGTGCAACCTTGAGCAAGTCAGTTCCCTTATTGGTAAAATAAGGATAATAAAATTGCTTACCCCAAAAGAGCTGCAGGAGGGAAGGAGTTAGGTAAAGCTCTTGGCGTAGTGAGTTACTCCCTTCATCCTGATGCTCTTGCCCCATCCTGCCTCACCAGCCCTCACTGCTCTGTGTCCCAGTCTCCCTGTGGGACCTCCTGTCCCCACCACTTCCCACGTCTTGGGTGTTATGGGCAAGCCCCCGACCTGCAAGGCTGTTGATAATGAGCAATGGCAACTTCTCTGGTCCTTGTTTTCCTTATTCTTAAAATGGGAACACTACTACTTCATGGAAACATTCTGGAAAGCGCATTCTACAGTTAAATTGCGATGATGCAGTATGTTCTGACATTCTGCTCAGAACCCCCCTGACTCCCTCTGGTAGCCAAAGGAAAGCCAGCATCCAGGCCTCCTTGTACCTGCCTCCCCTTCTCCTCTGGCACTGAAGCCTGGTGCCTACCCTCAGAAATGCTGACTCCTCGTTTGGGCGGGCTCCAGTATTGTTATTTAGAAATCAGTGATTTTGCCATGTAGACAAATTGGAGACTTGCTTTAGGTCCTGGCCTTCACTTGCCCTCTTAAACCCTAGCAGGCATCCCTGTCTGAGGCAAATGCCTCCTCTTTTCTTCTGAGTTGGTATCTGTGTTTTTGTTAGGTTTCTATTTTTAATTTTTGGTACGAGGGATGGAATCCAGAGACATTTTATCACTGAGCAAATTCCCCAGCCCTTTTTCTTTTTTTTTGAGATGGGGGTCTCACTAAGTTGCTGAGGCTAGCCTTGAACTTGAAATCCTCTTGAGTTGCTGGGAACGCAGGTGTGCATCACCACACTCTGCTTTTGTTGGGTTTCTGTGAACATAGAGTTATCTGTAGCCACAGTCTTCAAATATTTGTTGCTGTGTTTTTTTCATAGTGAAATGATGAAATTTTTATGAACAGGAATTGTTTTAAAGACTTCATTCAACAAGGTTTTATTGCAAGCCTGTTATATCCCTGTTCTGTCCACGAGATTTGCTATGGCTAGAGGGGACCAAAGGAAGGTCTTGGGGAGCTTATCATTCAGAGGAAGAAGTGACCACTGACCATCAAGGACACTCACATGGAATATGCTGGGCTGGAATACGTACAGGAACGGGAACAGCGCAGGCCGAGGAGAGCGCGCCTTTCCTCCTAAAGGCGTGGCGCATGAGGCAGGGCAGCAAGTGCTCCAGAGTGCCCTGGAGACAGATGTGTGGTAAGCCAGGCATCCCTGGCCTCCTAGGGCAGGGGAGCAGCAGTGCTGTTTGCATGGGGATGCTCAGTGCATGATGCCCACAACCCTCCCTTAGCCCCGGTAATAAACGGGAACACGGTCGTGGTGCAGTGTACGGGAACACCCCCATGTTGCTTGCCAGAGTGTTTTAGTAGCAGTGGGTGCCTAAAGCCTTGTCCTTCTGAGAATTCAGAAGTTTAAAAAACACGAGTCAGAATTTCTGACCCTGTATACTGAGAACTTAATGTTTAGTACAGTTAGATTTTATTAAAAAGTTAACTGTGCCTTCATTAATGAGCCGGCACACTCCATAGCATTCAGCTTATGAAAGCTGCTTTCCTCTTTTTTTTTTTTAATTGTAGATGGATACAATGCCTTTATTTTATTTATTTGTTTTTATGTGCTGCTGAGGATGGAACCCAGTGCCTTACGCATACTAGGCAAGCAGTCTGCCACTGATCCACAGCCCCAGCCCTGGTATCATCTTTGATTGTGCAACAGACCACATACCTGGTAGCATAACCTGCACACTTCACCTCTCAGGTTCTTGTGCAGTAAGGTTCCATGTTGCTTTGGGAATGTGCCTGTGACTCTTCTGAGGTGCCCTATCTCCTTGCAGTGCACATAGACCAGGGCAGTGATGGAGAAGTCAGTCCAGCAAATGCAGCTTCTTTCAAAAAGGAGCAGTTGTTCTGTCCCTCAGGGAGGCAGAAAGAAAAGCACCGGGGATGAGTCCTGAGAGGCGGAACAGGGTGAGAGGCAGTAGTCTCCCCTCATTGGTGTCTGGACTGGGTGGCTCCCTCAGTTCCCGTGCTCATGACACCTTCCAGGTGTCTGCTCAGACAGAGGTTCCAGGGTGCAGGACTAATGCCAGAGTGATTTTTTTCCCCTCCATGATAAAAATGTAAAAAATGAGGACATTGAAATGAACTTTTGCAATTTATCTTTTTAATTTTACAACTTTATGGAATCCTAAAGTCTTGATACTCCTGAACTAGATGGCTTTTAAGGTCTCGGATCCCTTTCACTTCTAAAATCCTTGAGATCCCTTGACTTGGTCATATTATCACTCAGCTGCTGTTTGGAGCACTCATGGAAGAGAATCGCGGCCGGGTCTGTTCATGTTTGAATACCGACATTGAGTCCATGTCAAAAGGGTTTATTGTAAAATCATTCAACCCGGGTTACTTTTTTTTTTTTTAATATTTTTTTAGTTGTCAATGGACTTCATTTTATTTTTTATGTGTGGTGCTGAAAGAAAAGGCAGAAGTCAAACCCAGTGCCTCACACATGCTAGTCAAGCGCTTTACCACTGAGCCACAGCCCCAAACCTTGGGCTACTTTTCTATGCAGATTTTCTGTTAAGTTCATCTTCGTTTGAAGTGGTATTTACTTTTAAAAAAAATTGAAATTCCTTTACTGGTAGTATTTTAATTATAGTTTTAACAGCATAAGTTTTAGAGTCAACAGATAAATCTGAATTAGAGAATTTAATCCAAATTTTATGATCTGAAGCCAGTAATTTACTTCCCAGATTCCTTAGTTCTATACAGAATGTGAATGATATGCTCTGTAAGTCCTTGTGTCAGCCAGGAATGGTGAGTACACTCACAATCCCAGCATTTGGGAGGCTGAGGCAGGAGGATCTTTGACCATATGTAGGATCTCAAGACTGGCCTAGGCAACACAGACCCCATCTCAAAAAAAAAAAAAAAAAATTGTGGCAATTGAGTTAAATACGAACTAAACCCTTTGCACAACAATTTTGCAAAGGGTTTAGTTCGTAAAATATTAATTCTTGACCAGTGAAAGCTGTTGGCATTGTTACCACTTAGAGGAATTTTGATTTTTAACCTGGCCTGTGCACTCAGGAGGACCTCCACATGGGAGCCTGGCAGAAGCTTACCAAGCACAAACCAAAGCCCGGACCCTGCAGACCCAAGTGTGCTGAATGATCTGTGTGGATTACATTCAGAAATCATCTAAATGTAATGAATTATCCTATTAGTTTTATTTAGTCTACTTTCACATTATTTATCAGACCAACATGTGCTCCTTACTTTTAGGGCCTCACTCTAAATTGCTGAGGCTGGCTTTGAACTTTCAATCTTTCTGCCTCAATCTCCTGCCGCATGCACCACCATACCTGGCAAAATGTGTTTTTTGATGTGGGAAAAAGAGAATTATTTTTATTATGTTTCCAGTAAGAAGTAGGTAAAGAAGCATGTGGATGTTTTTTACTACTACTTATTACGAGGAAGACCATTTGATTATATTTGGTCTGAAAATAAATAATTCCATTTAAGCCATGCTGAAAATTAACTGGCAGGTTTTTAGTCATGATACACAATTTACAAAACAACTTGAAGCCGTAGGGTCCAGCTTTACCATTGAGCAGCAGTGCTGTTCAGATTGTTCCAGGACTGCTGGGCTGTTCTGAGGTTCTGAAGTGATTGACTTAAAGCCACCAGTGATGTGTCTTTCCCACCCATGGGCTTTTTCCCAGGTGCCCAGTGACTGTTGTGTTGACTGTTCACAATGAGCTGGCTTTTTCTCAGGGTTGCTCCATAAGTAGAGGAGCTCAGCATCACACAGACCACTATTTATTTGTATCCCAACCATGTAACTGGAGTAACTATTCTTCTGAATCTGTTTTCCATCTAGAAAATAAAAATAATGGTAGCAGTTACCAGTGGCATGTGTGACTTTGAACAAATGTGCATTGCTGTTGATATTTGTGGTGATTTTACTCTTCTTAATAGTTATTCTGTTAAAAACAGGATGTTTCCCAAAGTTTTGCCAAATTCTTTCTCTTTGTTTATTGAAAATAAACCCAAGTTCTCCTTAAGCTGAATTTATCTTAGTCTAACGCAAGCGTCTGTCTCGGTGTTTCCCGGGGTGTGATAGATGTCGTGAACCCCAAGTCATGTAGCCCACAAGTTTTTTATATTTGAGTTTTCACTCACAGGTGAACATGAGATTCATCTTCAGACCTATAACCATGAACCATCTCTGCATTCTACTTAAAGTATACTTTCCAAAATTAAAAAGACAGTTTCTTAGTTGGATGCTATTCCTTCTCACTTTGTCTCTCTAGAGCATCCTGCCTACACATTGGAGCCATAGGCATCTTAGTTTATTTGTATGTTTTTGTCTTTTGGCAACAGAATACTATAAAAAATTAAACGGGGGGAAAATGACAGCTTGAGACTATTAAATTAAGGCAGTATAAAGTCTTATCTCCAAAATCTGTTTGGTGATCTCCTTGTCACTGTAACTTTGCAGAGCCCTGCTAGTTTCAGAAATTAGGAACTCAGAAGGCCCCATGGTGCTGCCAAGTTTCTCCTGATTTGCATTTTTGCACAAAGGTCAAAATGATAAGCCTCCCAGGCAGAACTAACTGTGCTGCCCCAGGAATACTTCCTTATGCCCAAAAGCACTTTTTTTTTTTTTTTTTTTTTTAGAAACAGTGAATACTGGAGTGAACATACACGAGTGCTTCTTATTTTTCCAAATGTTGTTGCACATAGATACCCAAATAAAATGCAACAAGGTCTGTCTACAATACAGGCTGGGGACCAGAGCATTTACAAAGGTGGCACCTAGAGTGGTCACATGTGCAAGGCCTCAGCCAGGAGCTCCTGTGTGGTCCAGGTGGCTGCACCAGAGGCAGCACCTGCTGTCCTTGACCTTCTTGCACATGGCTTCTAAGTTGTATCTCTGTAGTCGTCATTGAAAGTTGGGTTGAACCTGGCTAAATCTGTAGTTTTCCTTTTGAATTTATACAACTTTAAAAAAAGAAAACTCTGATGATTGGTGTCTCTCTTCTCCTCTCTTTGCAGGCAGGCAACCTGCAGACTCACTTACGCAGGCACTCTGGTGAAAAACCCTACATCTGCGAGATCTGCGGGAAGAGGTTCGTCCTGGGCTCGGCTGTGCATGATGGGTGGGTGGGGGTCATGCCCTCTGGCTCTTCATGTGAAACACAGAGTGAGAAGAATAAAAGTGGGCTGTGCTGTGGCTCAGTGGCAGAGTGCTCGCCCAGCACGATTGGGGCGCTGGTTCAGCCCTCAGCACCACATAAAAATAAAGGTGTTGTGTGTATCTACAACCAAAAAAAATTTTTTTAAAAAGAACAACAACAACAAAAATTAAAAGAAAGAACATCTGGGGCAGGAGTCTTAGGAAGGAAATGGGACTTAAATGAAACCTTATTTTATACTAAAACTTTAATTCATTGCAGGATGTCATGAACATAGACTGATGTTCCAAGGAGGGCACTGTCTAGAAGGGACATGAGACTTGCAGCGTGGGTGGCTGGACTTCAGGGGAGGTGGCAGGAGGGTGGTGAGGATGGGTAGGTGGATTTTGACCTGAGAAGTGAGAGCTGAGCTGGCAGCAGAGTATCTGATGCAGGTGGAACGAGACGAGTAGCAGTTTCCTCTGCACAGGATGGTATAGATGAGGAGCGCATCCCCAGACAGCCCACAGCTCTCCTTCCCTCACTTGGTTATGTTTCAAGGTCTTCTACTCTGCCACCCAGCTGTTATACTAAAGCCCAGCTGTCAGCCAGGACCACTAGCCACAGCCTGGGTAGATCTGTTAAATGCCCCCTGTGTGCTCAGTGCTGTGGTCACAGCATAAAATCCAACAGCACAGATTCTCTGCCTCTGACAAGCTCCTACTGAAGAATGTCAGGGTCAGAGACGAGCCCTGGGCCAGAAGAAGGCAGAGCCCTCTGATACTGTGGCGTCACGTGCTGTGGGAACAGCAGAGGCAGGAGCGACCCTGATTCAGGCTCAGGTAAACACTGTCTCTGCTGTTGGTAGAAAACGGGCTAGAACCAAGCTGCCCAGCCAGTCATGTCCCCCTTCTGCTGTGGCTTCTGGAACACGGTGCCAGGTATCACGTGCTCATATCAGTGCCCCACTCCTGAAACCCTCTCTCAGTGTTTCTAGTCATCAATTTCTGAGTTCCATGAGGAGTCATCTCTGTGTGCAGCCCCTTCCCCAGAATGCAACATACTCCTGTTGGGTGTGCCGGGTAGGAACAAGCACAGATTTCCTGGGTTGAGTTGCTGCCTCGGCAGGGTACTGACTGTCTATGGACTCAATTTTCCCATCTGGAAAGTGGGGTGAAAATGCCCCCCGGTGGTGTGAGAGTGTGTGAGGTGACAGTTTTTTTTTTTTTTAAAGGAGTAGGAATATTTTTTAATATGAAATTGTGGCCATTACGATTTTAAAGCAGCAAGAGAAATCCTCATTGAGAATGTGACCTTTATGTATAGAACTTATCACATGAGGAAGTAAGCCAGAAGTAGTGTGAAGAATGGAACAGTCAGAAGTCCAAGTGCAAATGCTCTGAGGTGACAGTTTTGAGGCATCTGTCCTGTCACCTGGCACACAGCAGCTGTCAGTGGAGGCTGGTTGTCTCCGTTCAGAGCCCTTTCTCCCTCTGCCGCAGGACGTGTGTGAGTCTCCATGTGACTGCAGGAGAGCCTGTTCCCTCCTGGTCTTCAGGGTGCAGGGGGTGAGCTTCTCGGGCTCGTTTCCTCCTGGTCTTCAGGGTGCAGGAGGTGAGCTTCTCGGGCTCGTTTCCTCCTGGTCTTTAGGGTGCAGGAGGTGAGCTTCTCGGGAGTCTTTCTGGCACACTGCCTCTTGGTCCTGAGCCTCCCTTGCAGGAGGAGAGCCAGGGCTGCATTGCTGAGCACAGGCGGCCACACTCACCCGGGCTCTGCAGGACTATAGCACAGAAGGGCCTTGCTTTCCTCCCAGCCAGGGCTTCCTTCTCCTTTACAGCCTGAGGAAATGAGGCAAGAGCACGGGGGTCTGCTCTCATGCTGTGTAAAGCTGAGGAAGGAAGGTGGAACCAGGAGGAAAAATGCAAAAACAAGACCTTGCATCATTTTCTACTTTTCTTAAAAGAGACACAAGGAAAAACGGTTTAAATGCACATTTCAGGTGAATCAGACCACTCTGAAGCAGAGCAGGAACACATTGTCTTCCCCTCAGCGGCTTGGGTCACTGAGACCCTCAGGAGTGTCGCCAGGCTCTTAATGGAAGTTTCCAATTATATTGCAGGTTTGCAGCCTCCGGTGATGTCCAGCGTCACATCATCATTCACTCGGGAGAAAAGCCACACTTGTGTGACACCTGTGGCCGAGGTACAGCAGAGCACCCTCCTTTGCCCTGAAGGTGTCTGCTCCAGGCCACCTGTCCCTCAGCTCACCGCCTATTGTGGTCTCCCTAGGGTTCAGCAACTTCAGTAACTTGAAGGAGCACAAAAAGACACACACGGCTGACAAGGTCTTCACCTGCGACCAGTGCGGGAAGTCCTTCAACATGCAGCGGAAGCTGGTGAAGCACAGGGTCCGGCACACCGGGGAGCGTCCCTACAGCTGCTCCGCCTGTGGTGAGCCTTTGCCTCGTCCCCTGGGGGTACCTGGTCAACCAGTGGGAGAGCACATCCTGCTCCACCTTGAGCTGATCTGATTGGTGCCTCTGATAGACACTTGCTTCCTTCTAGGCAAGATGACAATGATAGTTTTCTGTGCCACCTCCTGCGGTCTCATTCCAGTGTTCAGGAATGTGCTCACTGTGTGCCTGTGAGGTATCAGAAACTGTCCCCAGTGCTCTGGATGAGAAGATGACCAAGAGTTTCAGGCACTGAAGGCTCATGTCCAAATGAGAAGGGTGCAAGCTCTGGAGGGTGCTGGAGACCAGAGTGTCCTCCTGGAGCCCTGGGGGCACACGTTGGGGGTGAGGGATGGGCTTTGTGGGGTCATGGATTATAAGCAGATTATACAGCATGTCCGTGGCTTGGTGACTTCAGCATGGAGGACAGTGGAGAGCTGGCGGGCTGGGCACGGGGGCAGTTGCTGCCCAGATGAGGATGCGGAGACAGAGCATCTGTGCAAGCACGTGCCTGCCCCCAGGCAAGGTGTGTGCCCAGGACCGGCACCTGACCACGGTGAATAGACGAGTGACAATCATCTTTATGACGATCTCTTTAGAACAAGTGTGGGATCCTGGAGTGCAGTGCTGTGCAGAGTGGTCTGTTCTGATTGCGCTGGCATCTTAACTAGGGCAGGACTCGGGGGGATGCAGCCAGAAGGCAGCCATATTCTCTGCTCCCTGTCCTAATTGTACACCAACACAGGCAACACCACACCACTTGGAGCCTCTCAGAAACTAAAGTTCCATCACTTCTAAATTACAGACTCGGCCTTAGATCACCAGTTTAAAATGTCACTTCTAAATAATCATCACGACTGTGGGCTTGGTTTGGAGTTAAATTTCTCTTCCTCCCCAGCTAAGACTTGCTGCTGCTCAGGTCCCACTAGTGGAGGAAGGAAGGGGACCTCTGTATCCCCACCTCAGGGTTCTGCCCTGCCCCTGCTTCTGACTTACAAGGTCAACCTTAGGGGGAACAGAGACATAAAGGGAACAGGAATATTCCTACAAGTCAGGTGCCTAGAGAGTATTCCCATGCCATAAAATTCACCCATGTAAAATGAACAGTCAGGGTGTTCATATATTCCCCCAGTTGTGCTGCTCACCACAGTCTCATTAAGAACCATTTCAGGACCCCAAAAGGAAACCCCATACCCATTAGCAGTGACTTCCCTTCCCATCCCCAGCCACCAGCAACTGCCTGTCTACTTCTGTCTCTGGGTTTGCCTATTCAGGACGGTTCTGTAGTGGAGTTGTACCAGGCTCCCTGTAGCTGGTGTCTGACTTCTTCACATAGCCCCTGAGCTATGGCCATGCAGGGACAGGGTCTGGCATGGATGGGTTTCATTGCTCGCTGTGTAGACAGGCTTCCTGCTGGGTGGCTCATATTCTGAGCTTTGCCTCTCACACTCACTGCATGGCCCTGAAGACAGGCGCCCCTCTCCCGCACACCTGATCGCACTGTCCCTCCAGCTGACCCTCCCTTCCGCCCTGGGCTTTGCACAGTTTGTGCCTGGGAAATTCTTCCTTAGTGTCTCCTTGCCCTCTAGGCAGCTCTGTAAGTGGATTCAAAGCAGCTCAGCTTGACCTCGTTGGTCAGTGGCTGCACACATTTTGTGGATGGAGCACGGAGCGTGCCACCTGGTGCAGTGCTGACCCTCCTCTCTGCTGCCAGTGCAACCGCCACTAGCATGACCATGTAGAGAAAGGTGCCATCTTGTCATGCCTCATCACAGCAGGGACGCAGGTGGAGCCAGGCTCCTGTCCATGCATGAGGCATAAAGGAGAGCCTTCCCTTGTCCTTTCTGCTGTGGGGAGTTATCATGAAGATCCCACATGCCAGGGACGAGGCCCTTGCTATGGTATCCATCACCTAGGTAAACAGTTGGCAGCACTTGCATGTGCAGCAGTAAGCCCCCATGCTGAGGCCTCCGATCACAAGTGTCCAGACCTGAATACAGTGCGGCATCAAGACAGGATAGGAAGGGCTTCCACTGTGTCCCGTGAAGACAGCGGTGCTGGACAGAATGCAGCAGTGAAACAGGCAGTTCCCAGGGCGTGTGGATTTGGAATATGTATATGGGAAAGTGCCCAGAGTTCAGTGTGTGGGTGGTTCCGTCTAGTTGGATTGTTCAGGTGTTTTTCTCTAGTACCTCACCTGTTATGTGACTAGGGCAGAGAGAGAGAGTTGAAGGAGCAGAGCGGTGCATAAGGCAGGGTCTCCCACACATGCGTGCAGAGGGCGGGCGTCCTATGTGAACACACCTTAGTACTGATGGACAATTTCCACTTCTCAGCTTCTTGCCTATTTTGACTATGGAACTCCATCTCTTTACACAGAAAAAGGAAATAGGGCCTGGGGAGGTTGTATGTGTACTACAGGAGTACCCTCAGGAAAGGTGTTTCTGACTTTTAGGGTGGCCATGTTGGACTTAGGAACGTCAGTGAGACTGATGAGGGGAGTCCAGACGTGGAGAGGCCTGCAGGTGGCCTCTGTGCAGGGGGCACAGTGAGTCCCTGGAGGACTTTTGCTGAGACTCAACACCCACAGGCCAGTGGGGGTGGGGGGACTGCAGCAGGAGGAATACTGCCCCAAAGTGAGCAGGTGCCATCGGCCACCAGCTCTCCTTAAACCATGGTCACTTGATGTCAGGAGGAAAGGGATCCTTCCAGAAAGGCCACTTCACAACCCTGGTCTTTCCCCTGCAGGGAAGTGTTTCGGGGGCTCCGGCGACCTGCGCAGGCACGTCCGCACGCACACCGGGGAGAAGCCCTACACGTGTGAGATCTGCGGCAAGTGCTTCACGCGCTCGGCCGTGCTGCGGCGGCACAGGAAGATGCACTGCCGGGCTGACGCCGAGAGCCCGGGCGTACTGGAGGAGCTCGGCCGCGCCCTCGAGACCTCCGACCTGGAGAGGTCCCAGAGCTCCGACTCCTTCTCCCAGGACGTGTCAGTGGCGCTGATGCCAGTGTCCGTCAAACTCCCTGTCCACCCGGTGGGAAACTCCACGACGGAATTTGACAGCCAGTCTGCCGGCTCCTACTGCAAGTTACACTCCATGATTCCCCCTCCTGGTGCCAGTGCCCAGGAGAAGCTGAGCTTGGACGCTGTCAAGCTGGCCAAGCCCCAGGTGCCCCAGGCCCAGCCCCAGGCCTACACCTACCCAGACATGGACACTCCTGCCAGCAGCGAGCCGCTGCAGGCCGACAGCACAGCCATGGTCCGCTCCTCTCTGGCTGCTTTGGACAATCACTGCCCTGATCCCCTGGGCGGCCGTGCGTCTTCCACGGCTTATAGGAACTCAGAGGGGCAGTTTTTCTCCAGTATGACGCTCTGGGGGCTGGCGATGAAGACACTGCAGAATGAAAATGAGTTGGACCAATGACCCCACATCAGCACCTGCTGCCCAGTGTGGCTTCCTCAGTGTGGCCAACCAGTCTCAAGGCCACAGTCCTCCATCCTCCCTGCACCTGGTCCCTGCCGACCATCAGAGGCTATGTAGATGCTTCCCCTCCTGACAATGGGAGGAAGCCCACTGGTGCCCCTGGAGCAGGCGCGGGAGTGGGGCTCCCAGAGCCTGGGGCGGAAGAAGCCATCACCTTACCTTCCACCAGCATGAGCGCCCATGCTTTGTGTCAACTACTGTACACTTTTGTGTTAAAGGAAAAGTATATGTGTAATAATACAGATATTATTTTTGCATTTTTACAAGATTGAAATTTGTAGCATTTTGTATTTTTATTTACAGATTCTATTTGTATAGGAAACATAATTTAATTTGAATAAACAAAACTTGTTTTCTATATAATATTTGTTTTCTCCAAATGATGATCATCTGAAGAAGATGGTATAAAAATAAATATCAATGTGCAAGGCCCTGGGTTTGATCTCAGCACTGGCAAAAAATTAAAATAAAGGTTAGCAAGGTCTTGGCAGCAGGGCTGAGTCCTAAGTCCAATTGCTCTGCCATCTGACACCAGGGACCCCGAGCTGCGAGCAGCTTGGCCCCCAGCAGCCACACAGCCTCTCTGGTCCTCTGGTTTCTTCCTTCAGAGTGAGAAACACCTTATGGGGCTGACCTGAGACCCACTTGGAGGTGCCGCCCAGCCCCCGGCCCCGGGCAGGGCTTCTTAAACAGGCACTTCCTCTTGCCTCCCAGGAGGATGGCAGCCTCTGGGAGCACTTGTGCCCACAGCGCTGTCTCTGGAGATCACGGGGCGCAGCTGCAGCCGTGCTGCTCAGCATGGGTGGTCTGTGCAGATTAGAGCTGGGAGCACCCTTGCCGCCTCACATCAGCTTCTGTCACCCAGACGTGAACCAACGAGGTCAGTGTTTTCAGGGAGAGACAGTCGCAGGGCAGGTGTGAAGCCAGCGGTGGGCTCCCTCCTGGGTTCCCGGCCATTCACTGTGCTGCAGTCCACGAGGCCTGCGTAGGTGCCAGAGCGTCCCTGACCAGCACGTGGAGAACCGGAGCTTCTTGAGGACTTGGGGCCCTGCACAGGCTGTGCCTCTTAACAAGGTGGGTGCTTTGCATGGGACTTGCCTGGGATTGAGCCTGGAGCGCGTTTGTGTGAATGTCCTCCCATCTCCCGCTGCTCCAGCTCCTGCGCTGTCCTGACCCCAGCAGCCCTGCATTCTCCTGGGCCCTGTCATCCCTGTGGCCTCAGCTGCGACTCCCCACTGGCCTCTCACGTTCACCTTCACCTGCAGCCTCTGCCCTCTGAGCCTGCACAGGGCCGCTGTGCCCACTGGTGAGAAGCCCTCCCTCTGGGAGCCCTCATCCTCGCAGCCTCCCTCCCACCTGGGTCACCGCTGTTCTGTGTGACTGTCTTCTCATCCCCCGCTCAGGTCTCCCAGCTGCCCCTCCTCGTGATCGTGCTCCCAATTGAACACGGAAGCAAATGGAACTCCCCTCAAGCCCCCACCACACGCCCCCCTCCTGACCTCTGCATCTGTGGACTGCACCCCTGGGACACCTGCTACGAAGGTGTCCCCAAGCTTCTGCTCCCCCTCGTGACCTGAAACCCTGCTCTGTCTCATTGGGGTGCAGTGCTGCGCCCACCGTGTGTTCTGTGTCCCCCCTGGGATGTGAGCTCTGGGGTTTCTGTCTGGATCACTGCTGTTCCTAGTGCCCAGAGCAGTGCCTGGCACTCAGCAGATGCTCCATAAATGATCGCCAAATCAATGTTTGTGAAACACATTCTGGTTGAAATACTGGACGTCCTAGGTTGACGCTCTCACAAACCCTGTTCATCCCCACTCCTCCATGGAAACCTTCGTCAGGCCACTGATGACCTCTCCCTGGCTCAGTCAGTCATGGGTTCTCCACCCTGACCTAGATGCCCCCTCAGCGGGGAGCCAGCCTAGAGGACCATCCCTCCTGCCCTTAGAGCTCAGCCCAGCCTCCTTCCCGCCTCCAGCAGGCCACCTTCGAGAGCCTCCATCCCTGCCTCTCCCTAGATGCTCTCCTGACGGATGACCTGAAGTGTTATTTGCCCATGACCTCCACTTGGGCCTGTCCTGGCCTCTCCTCAGAACTCTAGAATCATGCACCCAGCTGCGACCAACACCATCCTGCTGTCCCATGGACACCTCAAGCCCACAGCTCTCAAGACTGAGCTCCCCGACCTACCCAGCCCCGCCCTCCCCTCGCACGGCTTAGCTTGTCACAGGGAAACCTGTCCTTCCAGTTGCTCAGGCTAAAAACCCCCAGAGCTACCGACCTCCACCAGAGGACTGGGGTGCTACCTTCGCACCAGAGAGACCTGCCATCGGCTCCAGTCTCCTCCTGCCTGGACTGGGATGGCCAAGCCGGACAGATCTGCTTGATGGGACAACAGTTTGAGCTTGAGAAATAAAACTGTAAAAAGCTTTTATACTTCCCATGTCTTCTTTTTGTCCCGTTGCTACTGTGCCCCAAAGTCTTCCCCTAATAAAGGAAAGTTGGGCAGAGGTGAAAACGCACTCTGGCACTGGGTGGGCGGGGACTGTGCCGTGCACAGCCCGGGTGGCCCTGCGGGAATGTGTGTGGCCGCCACTCACACCCCCCACTCTCCCCATCCCAGCCAGGAGACGGGCTTGTGTTCTGGGCTCCATCTCTGGCCAACCACGGGACACATGCCCATCCCTGTCCAGTCTTTGGGGTCCTGACTATGGAGCGACTTCGGCATTTTAATGCCATCGCTCTGTGACTCTCTGTGAACAGCCCGTGGCGAGGACCTAGGGAACCTGCCAAGGCCAGGAGCTGCCTTCTGAAAGGGCAGAGACTGGGGGCAGAGGCCCAGAGGCTGGGCAGCCCATCAGAAAAAGAGTGAGCTGGGAGGGCCTGGGAACCTGCCGTTTCCCAGGGCCCAGCTGCTGAGGTTCTGGAAGGCCCACAGCCCTGTGGGGCTCACAGAGGCTGCCTCCCCAGGTCAGGGTCAAGGCCTGGGTAACTGAGGAGGAGGCAGCCAGTGCAAGGACAGAGATTCTGACCTCACCTAAACTGTCATTCCCGCGCTGCTTGGTCTGTGGCAGAAGTCACTTTGTGGGGCAAGTCGTCATCAACCTCCTCCCTCTTCAAACGTCACCGTTTCAAATCCCTGTGCAGAGCTCCCACCACACCTTGCTCCCGCGAAGGATGGGTGAGAGCACCAGAGTCCTGGGCAGGTGGCAGGTGCTGGAGGAGGACCTCTTCCTTAGAGGCACAGGCCCTGCCCGCCCCCACCCCCGCCGCTGTTCTGTGTGGGCTCCCTGCGGCCACCAGGTGGCAGCAGCCCACTTGCTTCAGCAGACGCGGCTGGCGACCTGAAATGCTGAAGGCTGGCGGGACTCCTGCCTGGGCCATGTGGCATTCCTGCTGCCCTGTGCAGATGGCAGAGCCCAGGAGCCCTCTGGGAAGCCTGTGGCACGGTAGCCGTCCCCTCCGTGGTTTGGAGGAGTGTGTCCTGAGAAGGGAAGTCACCTGCCCAGTTGTCTCAGCCTTGCTGAGTGCCGTCTACCCCCTGGACTCCAGTGTCTGTGCCGTGTGGGGACACACAGTCCAGACCTCTGCCCTCCCAGCTCTCAAGAGGGCATCAGCCTTTGGCATCTGGACCTCCTGACTCTGGCTATAAAAAGGGGTTGAAAACTAGCCCTAAGCCAGGGTGAAACTCGGGCACTGTGCTACACCAGACCCAGAGGCCATGGCTGGACCACTGACTTCTGTGACCCCTCCAGTCCTGGCCAGCCCACAGGCTCAGAAGGCAGGTTCGTGGCTGCAGGGACAGGGGGATGGGGGACGACTGCTTCCTGGGTACATGGCTTTGGTTTGGGATGATGAGAGAGTTCTGGAACCAGAGGGTGGATGTTATGGCTTGGATTTGCCCCTCTTCCCACCCCTAAATTCATGCGTTGAAGGGCTGACCCCTCGTGTGGCTGTACTTGGAGACAGGCCTTTAAGGAGGTAAGTAAGGGTAAGTGGGTCATAAGGTCAAATGAGGCCGTGGGGCGCTGACCCAGTGTGACTGTGTCCTGGTAAGGAGACACCAGACCTCCTTCTCTCTCCCTCCCCCTCTCCCTCCCCCCTCCACCCCTCTTCTCCTCCCTCTCTCCCTCTCCCCCCACTCCCCTCCCACCTCTCCCCCATCTCTCCACACACAGGAAAGGCCAAGCAGGGCCCAGCAGGGAGAGAAGCCTCACCAGGAGTCAAGATGGGGCACCTCCTTCTGGGTCTCCTGGCCTCCAGAACTGTGGGAAGCGTTTTTGCTGTGGAGCAGCCCAGTCTGCAGCGTCCACGGCGTCGGCACACAGACGCAGTCACGCAGACTGTGCGTGAACCAAAGGCCAAGGCGATGGGCTCCCTCATTAAAAAGGTGCATTTCTGTTGTGCATGTTTTGTTAGGATGAGGGTGACAGCGTGTCCACAGCACTGGTAGGAGGCTGTCAAGGGCCTGTGTACCCACTGCCCACACCCCCACTGATTCCCCCTGTGTCAAGGGCAAGGTGGGCTCAGACTCTTGTTTCTGCTTCTTGATGAAGAAGTGGGAAGAGGAACACAGGGCTAGGTGTTCTGGAACTTCCTTCAGTCCAGTTACCCCTATACACACTGTGGGGCCTGGTGTTTGTGTAGGCCACAAGGTGACCATAGGCACCGATTTAGACTGAGGTCAAATGGCGCTGGCCCACAGGGGAGTTGACCCTGCTGTGACCTGGGCTCTCCCTCGGTTTTCTTCCCTGCAAAAGTGAGGAGCCAGGCATGAAGGCACATGTCTGTGATCCCAGTTCCGGGAGAAGCTGAAGCAGGAGGTTGCAAGTTCAAGGGCAGCCTGGGCAACGTAGCAAGACTCTGTCTCAAAATAAAATAAAAAGGGGTGAGGTGTGGCTCAGAGGTGGAGCACTAGCAGGTGGGAGGCCCTGTGTCCAACCCCCAACCCCCACAGGGCGGGGAGTAGAAATGTCCTCCAGGGGCTGCTGTGAGGTTGCCCAGGGAAATGGTCCATGAAGGGCCAGGTTAGAGCTGGTGACTGTCCTCGGCCCCGTCCTCTACCATCTGCTGGCCTTGGAGCTGGCCATGCCTTCCACCAGGCCTGGCCAGTTGTGGCCCTGCACAGTGTTCCCAGCCTCCTCTCCAAGAACCAGCCACGTGGCCCCCACCCGAGAGAGCAGCGAGGGCCAGCGTCCTCCACAAGCCTGACCTGGCCCTGGGGAACGCTGTGGTGGGGGGCTGCCTGAAGACTCCCCTCTCCCCTGCTCATCAGGAGGTGGGGATCTGAGCCGCCCCTGGGGTGGGGAGAAGTGCTGCTGTCCCACCCTCGGGCCCCACGCCCTCCATTCTCCTGCCTCCTGTACCCCATCTTCCACACCCTCCGGCAGGCCTCAGGACCCCGAGACCCCTCTAGACTGCCAAGGTCTGGCCTGTGACGTGCAAAAGGACACAATGAAAGAAATTTTAAAAATCCTGCCTCTCCACCCAAATCCT